TATCCACCACCTTGGTTTCCATATCCTGGTCCACCACCACCATACCCTCCTCTACTACGGTAACCAGGACCACCACCATAGTTTCTACCATCACCTCCAAATCCATTATATCCACCATCACCTCCTCCATAACTACCTCTGTTGCCACCTCCTCCACCACCATAACTTCCTCTTCTACCACAGTTTCCACCACGGCTAAAATTCCCTCCACCACCTCCAAAGTTTCCTCCATGACCCATAAAGTTTTCAGATCCACCTCCATAGCCTCTTTGTGATCCAGCAGACTGCATCTCTTGTTTAGAATGGGCCTTCTTCACTTCAAAATTATGCCCATTTATAGTGTGGCATTTCTGAACAACAATTTTATCAACTGTGTCATGATAATCAAAAGTTACAAAAGAAAATCCTCTCTTTTTCCCACTCTGCCTGTCTTCCATAACTTCTATGATTACATTCTTGCCATATTTTTCAAAGTAGTCTCTCAAATTATATTCTTCTGTATCTTCTTTAATACCACCAACAAAAATTTTCTTCACTGTTAAATGGGCACCAGGCTTTACTGAATCTTCTCTAAAAACAGCTCTCTTTGGTTCCACTACACGCCCATCAACTTTGTGTGGTCAAGCACACACTGTTGCATCCTCCTCTTCAACACAAGAGTAAGTAACAAAACCAAAGCCTCTGGAGTGAGTTGTTTGAGGATCTCTCATTACCACACAATCTGTGAGTGTGCCCCATTTCTCAGTGTTCTCTTAAACTATCATCAGCAGTTTCAAAACTGAGACCACCAATAAACACCTTCCTCAACTGCTCTGGCTCCTTTGGATCACGGCCCTCCATTTTGAGACCAGACTCGCCTCTTCCAACTCGAGTTCAATATGGGTTCAACTCCTTCTTATAAAGTAAGAAAATGAGGTTTCAAGAAACTCAGAAATATGTTTGTGACATAACAGATAAGAAGTGGAGGCCAAGTGAGTCTCCAAATGGTCCAGAGTTACTCTGTGCTCTGTGTTACCTCCCCAGGAAAGCAGCCCTTCCAATGTTTCCCACATAGCAATGAGTAATAACTTCTCTCTTTTTTGAGCTTAAAGGGTGGAGATCTGGATCTACAAAGTTAACTCAGGCCACAGTCATCATTGGGTAGAATTCAGGTCAGAATCAAAATAATCACTGTATCCCGAGCTCATCTTTTCCAGCTGAGATTGGACCTTGCTTCCAGAAAGTTTCCCTCACATCTGGGGAGTATGAAATTCTCAGCAGTGGTCCCCATCTTCCCTCAGTGCCCATCTATCCTTGTAAGGGCAGAACCCTACTAAGACCCCAAGATCAGTGCCACAAAGGGACTCCCAAATCCTCCATTGGCTGCCCACATGACACCTGGAATCCTTGGGGCTGAAGGCCTGGAAGAGTATCCTTTTCCTCTCAATGGCTTCTGACTAGCCAAGTTGTTAAAATAACATATATTTTCTAGAGGCATCATTTTTAACTAGGAAAAACACAATGCTACCATTCAGGAAAGAAAATATTAAATAATCATTTTAATTGCCCATAGTACTACTACACTAAAATAATGTTTTAATTTTTATGATTTGCCTTTGACACTTATTTTTGGAGTGTTTTAATCACAACCAAACACTATTTTAAAGTGTATATGCACACTTGTACTACATAGTCAGTTCAAGGTCAGCTTCAACTGCATAGCAAGACCTTGTCTCAAAAAACCAAAAATAAATAAATGAACAAAGCACATATGGTCTGACAACTTAAATAAAACCAAAGATTGATTCTCCAAAGTTTAATGAGATTTATTTGGAGTAGCAGAACACTACACTGGTAACACATGTGCCATAGTAAAGTATGTGCTTATTCAAGGAAGTTGAGGCAAGGGGACATCTTTAAAGGTAAAAATGAGGAAATTACACAAGTTGTTTTGAAATAATACTTGGCTAAAAGGGAGACATTAGTTCAAGATTAAACAGATAGTTGCTGGGCAGGTATCCTGGAGGAAGTATTTTTATGTAAAGTTGAAATTCTAGCCACATCTTTGTGAATAGTTCTTATCAGGAATAGTGCATAAGATCCCCTCCTTTGTTTATTTATTTATTTATTTTTGGTGAGGGCTTGACAAAAGTGATTATATTTTAATATTGCCAACTTTCACACTTTCAAGCAAATAAAGAAATCTCCAAGCATGAGAAAAACATGTATACATATGCTAAAAGGTCTGATTTTCAGAATTATTCCCTAAGGAGATGACGGGATTACAAGGGGAAGAGCAAAAGAAAGCAGTGGATTGTGGACACAGTTCCAAGTTTGTGCACTCCCTTTCGAGTATCTAGGCTGAACTGCTGAGAAGTGGGAGTTAATGCTGGGCCTAGGTCCTGAAAAGCTGAAGAGCTGGGAATGCCCTGTGACCTCTCAGGAGAATGATGTTCCACTCCCACCCTACTCTCCAACCCCCGCCTCCAACCATCTGGGGAAAGGAAGCATAAAAGAGATTGCAACAGGCAGTGTACTTCCTTCTTTCTCACTCTTGGGACATGCCTGACTAGCAGAAAGAAGCCCTGTGACAAGAGAACCACGGAGGAGGAAAGCTCTGCCACAGTCTAATCGTAACACAAAGGTAATTTTAATTTTTATTCTTCTATCCTTGGCAAGAAGAGGGAACAGAAGCTTCTTAGTTTCCTCCCGGGGCATCTGAAATGCACTCCTAGAGATGGGATGTCCCTTTTCCTGTCTTCCCCAGATATCTCCTAAGTTGAGGACAGGTCTTATGTCTCAAAATTTAGGATTCTTTAAAAATATATGGAACATTCTGGAGGTAAAACAAAGAAGGGAAACCAGTTGGCCTGACTCATAACCTTGCCCCCAATTCACAGTGCTTACATACAGCCACCATGAACAGGACAACATACTAGAGTTGTGTGGAATTCTAGGACAGCAGAGGTCAGCACAAGCTGACTGCCAGGGACCCAGTGTGGCTGCCACTTCTGCTTCAGGCTGAGGGAGGCAGACATAAGAGGCCTTTGACATTTAGTTTGGTGAGGAGATCTTTCTGTAATAGCTACTGAGCTGAATCCTAATAGGACTAAGTGGATCTTCATTTTGCCTCTTTGTTTTAACACTAAGGAAAGTGAGCTCATATTCCAGCTTCTCTTCCAGGAGGTTCCACACTCTTCCTTCAGTGGGCCTCAGAGGTTGGTCAGCTGGTGGTGACTCCCACTCCCTCTCATCTCAGCCCTTTCAGAGGCCAGGCTGGGTTTGGATCCAGACCCTGGAAAGGTCTGTGGATCTGTGTGCTTTCAGAAAGGAATACCTGATGTATCCCTCTGGCCTTCCCCACTAGGATTCTTCTTTGGCCATTATGGGTTCCGTGAATTCCAGAGGTCACAGGACAAAAATTCAGGTGGTGATGATGGGCTTGGACTCAGCAGGCAAGACCACACTTCTGTACAGACTAAAGGGCTACCAGCTGGTGAAGACGGTACCCACTATTGGTTTCAATGTGGAGCCTCTAGAAGCTCTTGGATGCACACCACTGACTCTTTGGGATATTGGGGGCCAGGCCCCACTCAGGGCCAGCTGGAAGGACTATCTGGAAGGCATAGACATCCTTGTGTATGTCCTGGACAGCACAGATGAAGCCCGGTTGCCTGAAGCAATGGATGAGCTCCTGAAAATCCTCAACAATCCGAACGTGGCTGATGTCCCTTTTCTGGTGCTGGCCAACAAGCAAGATGCACCCAACGCACTTCCACTACTTGAGATTAAGAACCAGCTGGGACTGGAGAGATTCCAGGATCATTGCTGGGAGCTCCTGGCCTGCAGCGCCCTTACTGGTGAGGGGCTGCCTGAGGCCCTGCAGAGCCTGCGGAGCCTGCAGAAAATCCACAACCACAGCTGTCTCCACGTCAGAGCCCACAGGGCGGGGAGAGCAAAAAATTTTGACCAGGCCAGAGCAGCTTATCTCCGCCCATATGAACCAAAAGGACCAGCTAATCCTTGAGAAAATCCAGGTTAACATACGAAAACATCTATTATCGAACAGGATGTTTTCTTCTTGGGACTTATTCTTAGTGGGGTTTATGTTGAAAATCAAATAGTCTTTCAACAGTGATATTCTAAGGAAAATAAAAGCAATAGTTCATTATCCGGTGTGAGTGAAGCAATAAGAGGTTACGTATGTGATAAATTGAAGCCTAAGTTCAAAAAGGCAAAGAGGTTTCAAAACCAGGTTTCAGTATCCTCTGCACATGGTCACAGTCACGATGAATGATTTTTCCCTGATGGCTTCTGGGAATGTGCCAGGGCTGGTGTCATCAGGGATGGCAGCAGGGAGTGTAGATCTGCTCCCTCAGAGTCTGCAGTGGAGGGGTTTGCTGGGGTTCTGACCCTGGTGGAGGAGGCTGGGAGTTAAGGCCTTTGCAAATTCACCCTTCTCTCTAGCCCTAATTAATACTTTTCCAGGCTTTGTCATTCTATGCTGGTCTTTTTCTCCCCACCTTCATTTACTTTCTTTTTTTCTTCTTCTCTTCTTTCTCTTCTCTTCTCTTCTCTTCTCTTCTCTTCTCTTCTCTTCTCTTCTCTTCTCTTCTCTTCTCTTCTCTTCTCTTCTCTTCTCTTCTCTTCTCTT